CCACCACCACCACCACCATACCACACACGGCATCTCGACCGGCACTCCTTGGCTAGGCATTTTGACCAATGGTGATGCTCTAAACCTGTCGCACCCCCAGTCTGTCGCACGCGACGAGACCTTCGATCGCTACATGGACCGATCTCAGGCGACGGTCGCGTGCGACTAGACGTCGTAATACGGGGTGCCCACTACAGCTGGATCGGGCCGATCGCCCGACTCGATCGCCTGAAACTGAAAACAAACACGTTTGTGTTTGAGGCAATCGAGTCCGGCGATCGGCACGATCAGCCGATCCCATCCGCAGTGGCACAAAGGAGACAGTTTCTTCATAATCTCAGGAACTTTGAGGCGACACGACGTCGCGTCGACGGGGTTCCCGCTACGGATGGGATCGGCCATCGGGCGCAGCCCGATCCCAGCCGTAATGGGCACTGGAGACTCATCTCAGGCGACTATCGCGCATAAGGAGAAAAATATAGTACTGTGCTGTATAGTATGGATAATTCCGTTGTATCAAATGGCGAGTTGTATATCTATTATACACCTTTAACAAAGCTCAAATAAGCAGGCAAACACACAAACAACACGCATATTTAATGTGCTATACAGTATACAGAAGTCAGTTTCTACATGGAAGCCTGGCTATTTTACCATATTATTTCTTAACTTTTACCAGACACAGCTGTCCAGTTAGCAGCAGACCAGCGTCAATGTTGAGGCACATTTTGAACCATCATGCACAAATCAGAAGCACGAATTTGCATATTTCATGGTACGAACTGTTGTTTCCCATTTTTTAATGTTTTAAATAAAGAAAAGAGCATTTTAAAATTTGTCTGAATAACGCCGTTACACTTCTTATTAAGGTATATATCCCAAAACAGCGAGTTTTCAAGCATTGTTGACAGACCAGAATGTGCGTTCTCGATGACTTAGATCTACGTCTCATTTTGGTTCAGAGAAATCACTTTAAATCAGCATAAAACCAAAGCTTGCAACAGAAACCCCTGTTCAAGACTGCACGGATTACCGAAAGATCACTTAAATAATATTGTTTAAATACCTGAGTGATTTATCGTCTAAAATTAAAATTGTTAAAAGGTGATTTATTAAATAAATGTTCATTATGCCAATATTGTTTATTGTATTATTATATAAGCAATATCATACTCTATCTTTCAATGAAAATAGAATACTCACTCATCCAAGTTTGCGCAGAAACCCAACAGGAGTCCCACTTGGCGGAAAGCTTTCTCAAACACCTCGACGTCCAGGCCCGAGTCGTAAGCACCCTTCAGCACCCCGCAAGCCGCTTCCTCAAACCTGATGGTCTCTGTCCAGTAAATCCTGTTGGCCACCAGGAATGCTTCGAAAGCGCGTCTGAGGGGGTGCCAATATAACAACTTTGAATATGAGCAATGGCAAACATAACGCTTTAAAATGGGTCACTTATCAGCTGGAAGAACTGGTACCTTACTGAACATGTTAACAAAATATCCCCAGTAGAGCAGGTGGCAACGTTATTAGTATAATTACTACTTCGGGTGCTATTTAATCAAGGGGATCAGTTTGACATAGTGTGGTTCTGTAGCCGGTTTTAAAATATCAAGTTAAATTTTTTTTAAACTGGAATAAGGTTTCACTATCATTTTTGACAGGGCAAAGCCAATTGGATAGGCAATCCTGACAATTCGCTGAATAATCAAAAGGAAAA